CAACAAAGGATACTAAAAGATGTCCTACATATAGAAAACCAATAAGAACATGATGAAGGCAGAAAAACAGTCCCCAAACAAAGAATCAGATAAACATAGGTAGAACCTAGGAAACACAGCCCCTAAGAAGGTGGATAACATGGCAGGAACTACCAAACACCTCTCAATCCTAACTCTCAATATAAATGGACTTAACTCTCCAATCAAAAAACATAGAACGTCTAGTTTGATCAAAAAGCAGGATCCGTCTATCTTCTGTCTTCAAGAGATGCACCTTCCCCACAAAAACATATTCTGAAAGTGAAAAGTAGGGATCAAATCTACCAAGGAAATGGCTCCCAGAAAAAGCTGGAGTACCAATCTTAATATCAGATAAAACAGGCTTCAAATTAAAATTAGTCAAAAGAGGTTAAAAAAAAGGGCACCATATACTAATAAAAGGATCTCTTCTACAGGATGATATAACAATTCTATTCAACAAATACCGGAGCACTCAAATTTATCCAGGAAACACTACCTTTCCTAAAATCACACCTAGATCCAAAGACATCGATTGCTGGTGACTTTAACACACCACTTTCCCTGATGGATAGATCAGCTCAGCAAAATCTCAACAGAGAAACATCAGTGCTAAACAACTGCATAGACCAACTGGACTTAACAGACATCTACAGAATATTTCACCCAGCAGCATCAGATTACATGTTCTTCATGGCAGCACATGGAACATTCTCCAAAATAGACCAAATTTTAGGTCACAAAGCAAATCTATAGAAACTAAGAAATACTGAAGTTATTCCCTGAATCCTCTCAGACTACAATGGAATAGATTAGAGCTCAATGCCAGAAGCCATCAAAGAAAATTCTGAAACAAATGGACACTGAACAACACATTGTTGTATCACCAATGGGTCATGGAAGAGATTAGAATGGAAATTCAAATGTTCATGATATTGAATATAAATGAACATACAAATTACCAGCTCCTCTGGGATACAGCAAAGGCAGTTCTCAGAGGAAAATTTATAGCACTTAGCATCTACATCAATAAATGGGAGAAATCTCAAAACAACAATCTAATGATGCATCTGAAGCTCCTTGAAAGAGAGTAAGAAACCAAACTTCAATACCGTAGATGGAAACAAATAATCAATATTGAATCAGAATTAAATAAATTAGAGACTCAACAAAAATTTAGCAAAGACTGACAAAACAAACAGTTGATTCTTTGAAAAAAAAAATAACAAAGTTGACAGGTCCCTTAGCAAATATGACCAAAGAGAGAGAGGGGACAGGGGAGGGAGCGCATACTCAAATAAAAGTGTAGTTGAGGAGGTGGGAGGGAAGGGATGGTAGGGGAAAAACAAAGGAGGAGGCAACAATGCTTGATAAGAAATGTACTCATTACCTTGTTCGTATAACTGGAATCCCTCTGTACAGTATTTTCACAATAAAAAACTTATTTAAAAAAAATCAGAGATGAAAATGGGAACATCACAACCGAAACAAGTGAGATTCACAACATTATAAAGAAATCATTTTCTAACCTGTAGGCTAGCAAATTTGACAATACAGAAAAAAGTGGATGAATTTCTAGCAAAGATTGATATACCCGAACTGAACCTAAAAGATCTAAACCAAGTAACAGACCCATATCAAGTATTGAAATAGAAAAAGACCTCCTACCCTAGAAAAGCCTACGACCAGATGGATTCACAGCTGAATTCTATAAAGCTTTCAAAGGAGAACTCACTCCAATATTCCTCAAACTCTTCAATGAAATTGATAGTGGAAGATCACTACTTGTTCTCAACTTGTTCTAAAAAGCCAGCATAACCCTCTTCCTAAAACCTGATAGGGACTCATCAAAGAAAGAGAATAGACCCATCTCTTTAATGAACATTGACTCAAAACTTCTCAATAAAATTCTGGCCAACCGACTAGAACATCTAATCAAAAAGTCATCCAGGGATGCAAAGCTGGTTCAATATATACAAGGCAATTAATGTAATTCAATACATCAATAGGAGCAGTACAAGAATCACATGATCATCTCAATAGATGCAGAAAAAAGTATTTGACAAGTTCAATCCCCCCTTTATGATGAAAGCTCTGGAGAAACTAGGAATCCTGGAACATTCTTCAATATAATAAAGGCCATATATGACAAACCTACAGCCAGCACTATACTTAATGATAAGTTAAAGCCATTTCCTCTAAAATTATGAATGAGACAAGGATGTCCACTCTCTCACTCCTCTTCAATATTCCTAGGCAGAGCAATAAGGCAAGATGCAAACATAAAAGGGATCCAAATAGGGAAAGAAAAGTAAAACTCTCCTTCTTTGCAGACAACATGATTCTGTACTTAAAGAACCCCATAGGCTCCTCACCCAAATTACTTGAGCTGATCCAAAACTTTGGCAAAGTAGCAGAGTATAAAATTAACCCACAAAACTCAATAGTTTTTCTGTATACCAACAATAAAAAGAGTGAGGCTGAAATAATTTTAAAAAAGCAACTCCTTTTGTAATAGCCTCTAGAAAAATAAAATACTTAAGAATAAACTTAACCAAAGAGGTCAAGAACCTTTATGATGAAAACTTTAAAAACTTAAAAAAAAAGAAATTAAAGCAGATATAACGAAGTGGAAAGACTCCCATGCTCCTGGATTGGGAGAAATTAACGTGAAAATGGTAATACTGCCCAAAGCTATCTACAAATTCAATACAATACCTATCACTATCTCAACAACATTCTTTAATGAAACAGAAGAAGCAATCTAAAAATTCATATGGAACAATAGAAAACCCCAAATAGCAAAAACAATCCTCAGCAGGAAGAACAGTGCTGGAGGAATATCAATATCAAACTACAAACTCTATTATAAAGCTATAGTTATAGAAACAGCTTGGTACTGGCACATGAAAAGGCAAGAGGACCAATGGAATAGAATTGAAGACCTAGACATGATCCCACAGATGGGCACCCAATCTTCGATAAGGGAGCCAAAATTATCAGATGGAAGAAAGACAGTCTCTTCAACAAATGGTGTTGGCAGAATTGGCTACACACGTAGAAAATTGAAGTTAGATCCTTATATATCATGCTGCACCAAAATCAACTCCAAATGGATCAAAGACCTTGAGGTAAAAGCAGAGACTCTGAAGCAATACAAGAAGAGATAGGGGATATGCTAGGGTTCCTCAGCACAGCTGGAAGCTTCCTAATTAAAGATCTAGAACAACAAATCAAAGAAAATCTGGATAAATGGGACACTTTAAACTGCAGAGCTTCTGCATGGCAAAGAACATAGCTAGCCCACGGATTGGAAGATCTTCACTACGTATACAACTGACAAGGGTCTCGTATCAAAAATACACCTACAGCGCAAAAAATCAACGCCCCCCTCCATAACAAATCCCCAGAGAAACAGCAACCCCATTAATAAGGGGGTAAAGAATTAAAAAGAGACTTTTCTGGAGAGGAAATAACAATGGCCAATGGACACATGAAGAAATGTGCAGCGTTGTTGGTCATAAAAGAAATGTAAATCAAAACTACATTGAGATTCTACCTCACCCCAGTTAGAATGGCCATTATCAAGAAAACAAATAATTATACATGCTGGCAGGGATACGACCAAAATGAAACACTACTCCACTGTTGGTGGGAATGTAAGCTGGTTCAACCACTCTGCAAGGCAGTATGGATGTCCCTCAAAAGACTAAACATAGAAAACCCTATAATCCAACAATCCCACTCCTACGCATTTATCCAAATGATCTCAAACTAGGCCACACTAAAGCTACCAGCATAACTATATTCATTGCAGCATTGTTTATCATAGGTAAGCTATTGCCCCAGATACCCCTGAATAGATGATTGGATCAAGAAAATGTGGTATATTTACACAATGGAATTTTATGCTTCTATCAGAAAGAATGGCATCACCTCTTTCTTAAGGAAATGGAACAACTTGGGAAAAATCATATTACGTGAAGTAAGCCAGACTCAAAGAAACATAGGCTCTGTGGTTTCCCTCATACATAGTAATTAATATAAGCATAGGTTAGTCCTGACAGAGAATCATAATAGTCAAGAGCTATGAACCTATGACCATACAAAATGATGCTAATTGAAATGAACTCCAAGACATAGAAACAGCAGGTCTTCTTTTTTAGTTGTCAACTTGATGTCACCCATGTACTGTATCTGGTTCTTTCTTCATATTTTATTTCATTTTTTCTTTTTTCATTGATTTATCCCTGGCAATCTCTTTGATTCTGGTACCCTTCTTGTATATGCACTTATCTGATTGGGGGGAGGGAAGGAAAATAACACAATGCTGAAAGAATGACCCACTGCAACAATGATACTCACAGGACACCATGTCAGAAGTGATCTTTACAACTTTGTGGGAGGTGTGAGGAGTAGTGGAGGGCAGGGATAGTAGGAGAACAACAATGGAATGGCTAACAGTGTTCAATAAGAAATGTACCTTATTCATGTAGTTATAACCCCTCTGTACAGCATCTTTACAATAAAATTAAACTTAAAAAAATCCTCGAAATGTGACCACTGCTAAGAAATGTCACTATTGCTTTCTTACTAAAGTGACCAGGTAAAAAATAACTTAGTTTAAGCAAGGAACTAAATCAAATTCATTTTTATTACTAAACTAAGTTTTTTCATTCAACATATTAAATATATATGTTATATGAGTTTTGATGAATCATGATGTTGAAATAATTTTCCATCCTGTTTTGTAAAGAATGAGTAAACAATAATACTCTTCTAATACCCTAAATTTGTGGTTTCTTCGCTTTCAGCAGAATGGCAGACTGATCTCCCTTCTCCTCCATTAGCTCAGTGATGAATGTTGTTGACAATGATTCAGTGATATGAAATGACACGCAAAGAAGGAGTAATGGAAGAATATAAAATCCTCCCAACATGCAACCCATATAGAAAACCAGCAATGCTAGAAACATACTTACAACCACTCCCCTTTTTGATAGTTCTTCAAACATATTTTTCTCAGAATTAGGAAACGTTAGTGTTAACTGGCAGCCCCTATGCTCTATATGGGATGGAGTAATTATGATCACCATTGGTTCGTTGGTTTCTGATTTATCTTTGCTATAATAATATTTGATCAAATATTCCAGATAGCCAGTAAGTAAAATAGATTTTCTTCTCAATGCTTTCACAGTTGCTTCCCTAAAGATCTGCAGGATGAAAAGGAATAAGATTAAGTGTTCAATGAATTCACAAAGAAGCAAAATTTCAGTGTAAATCATACATAGGAAGGCAATGCCTACTTTTGACCTCTTAAATCAGTATCTGATTTTAGGTATTTTTTTGTAAAATCATGTCCTCTTTTACATACTCTACCATTAAATATTGAAGGTCATTTCCATAACAGAAAAAATGACAAAATGTCATTAAACAACACTTATAAATAAATAAGAAATTATGAGCATAATCACCAAGTATAATCACCAAGAAACATACCTTACTAAATGCATTTATTTTTATTTATTTATTTTTTTGTAGGTTGTGGGGCCTGAACTCTGGGCCTGGGCACTGTCCCTCAGCTCTTCAGCTCAAGGCTAGTGCTCTACCACTTGAGCCACAGCACCACTTCCGGCTCTTTCTGCTTATGTGGTGCTGAGGAATCGAACCCAGGGCCTCATGTATGCAAGGCAAACACTCTACCACTGAGCCACCTTTCCAGCCCCACTAACTTCATTTAAATTCTACAAACGTCAATTTTTCTTTCTGAACCATTTTATAAACAAACCTTTCTATTCTCACAAACTGTATAATATATAAAAAGTATAGAGATAATGTATATATAAAAAAAGATAGGATTCCATTAAGTGTTTTATCAAACTTCTCCTACTTTAATAGTTTTAAAAAATAAGCAGTTAAATTGTGAAATAAAATATTCTCAGCAAGGAAAGCAAATAATTAATATACGGGTTATATAAAATTTGGTAGAAAACATAGCCTCATTTTCTCATGTAGAAGAAGATATAAGTAGACTTGGGGCCACAAGGACTCAAAGGAACTCAGCCACGTTTTGCTACCAGCATACTCTCAGAGGGCAAAAACAAAGACTGGCAAGGCAGCAAGGTTTGGTTGATCAAGTCTGAAAAGAAGTCAGAAGAGGGACCACTCCATATTTCTTTCTGGAAATTGCAGTACTCTAGGATTTTTTTTCTTATTCTAGGTATTTTTCATCTTTTTATATTAGTGTATCTTCATTATACAAACGATTATCCTTATAGTATTTTCTACCCTTCCATATACTTTTTCTTGTCCCTTCCTTGTCAAAAATTTTAATAGGTTTCATTATTCTCTCTTTATACATGAATATGAAGTATTTCAAGTATATTTAGTCCTCCTGCACTTTCTTTTTTCGCTCCTCCTCCTACTATTTTCCCCCATTTTATGCTTTTGTCATTTGTTAAATTAAAAACTCTAGAAAAATCTCTGATTCAGCAACAAGCTCCATACAGAAGAAGGGTATTGCGAAGTATAGTTCACCCTCAGTATCTGCAGGGGACTACTCCCTTAAACCTTCATGCTCAAGTCCCATACGTGAAATTATATAACATTTATACATAACATGCATGCCTCCTCCTGTATATTTCATTTCTTCTTTAGATTATTCAAAAGCCTAAAATAAACTGTGTATCAGTGACTCATGTCTGTAATGCTAGCTACTCAGGAGGCTGAGATCTGAGGATTATGGCTCAAAGACAGCCTGGGGCAAGAATGTCAGTAAACTCTTATCTCCAAATAACCACCAGAAAACTGGCTCTGCGGCTCTGAGTGGTAGAGTGCTAGCCTTGGGCAAAAGAGCTCAGGGACAGTGCCCAGGGCCTGATTTCAAGCCCCATCACCTCAACCATCAGTAATAATAATAATAATAATAATAAGAAGAAGAAGAAGAAGAAGAAGAAGAAGATTTTAAAAATCTAAGATAAAGCAAATGATTTTTATTAAGTAGGAGTATTTGCATTTATTTCTTTCACTTATTCCTGCTTCCTCCACTTGTCCCTTACAATAAAATAACTGATTTAAAAAGACTAGGCAGGTAGCAACATTGCTAATTTACATATGCTTACTCACTCGTTGCTATTATAGAAATGCATAAAAATTGTGTAATGTGTACTTGCAAATTGTGTGCTATTTTGCAATTTTAAACTTTTACAGTTTATAATGAGAGAGGGAATTTTTTAAAAGCCCTATAATCACCATAAAATTTGATTAGTTAAAGGGAATCTTTGTCAGAACAAGCCTCAGTACTGTAAGATTTCAGTAAGAAGCTCTAGAGAAATATTTAAGTAATTAGGGTTCTAGAGGACTTCACTGCTGTTGGGCTGTTTGGGATATTTTACAAGATTTAAGCTGCAAATATTAAAGGGACAGAGATAAAACTTCATCTAGGGGACTAACACAATATGAAAGTAATAGAAAAAACAATAACAAAGGAAAAGAACTTCTCTTCCCACAGCAGAAGGGGCAAGTGTGGAAAACTAGTCATTTTGTTGCAGAGGTCATACTAATATGACCTTTTCTGGCCAGGTGTGGTGATGTATGCCTGTAACCACACTGCTTATGAGGCTGGAGAAGGAAGATTTGAGTTCAAACCCAGCCTGGGTTATACAGCAAGGTCAAGGAGACCAGCCTAAGCAAGATCCTGACTCAAATATGTTTGCCAAGACAGAGAAAGAGGGAGGGAGAAAGGGAGGGAGGGAGGGATGGAGGCAGAGAGAGAGAGAGAGAGAGAGAGAGAGAGAGAAATTTCTAGTTATTTCACAGAACTTGTTTGCAAAACAAAACTGAAGAAATCATGCTAACTACTAGTTCCTCCTAAGATGTCTTTTATCTTCTCCTTAATAGAAACTTGCAAATAAAATCTTGTTCCAAAATATTTAAACTAAATATGTCTCTAAATTGGTATTATAAGATAAATTTAAGCATTATTATCCATTTTACTAGGTAGAATTTTACATTACTAAGAAGAAACAGAAAGGCTGAAAAATTTTGTTAGTAATAATTTGTCAAAAAGTGAAAGCAGCATATTCTCCCTCTAGTGGTCAATTTGAGTAAGTGCTCTCCAAATTGGGATGCAAAGAACATGCAATTATTACTTGAAGGTAATGTTGAATAAAGCTGAGGAACTTGGCACTGCCATCCAGTGGCCAGAATAAGAAGCTGCTATGCTTGTTCATTGAATTTAGTTTTTTTGAAAGATTTGAGACATTTCAATCCTGTTACTTAATTCTCAAATCTCAATAGGATTACCTAAAATAGGAAATATTTTTACTTGAATATATATTGGTATAAGACAGCTACTAGAACAGGTATGCATATTTGTTTACAGTGTATTTCACTCAAATGTATGTTAGAAATATGTTCAAATAGTATTTGTGTTAATATTATTAACTATTTGGTAAGATTATGTATGAAATATTGATTTGTAACCATATATATTTGCCTGGATGAATTTAGTATATCGTGAAGTGTTACCAAACAAATCACAGCTTGTTTTTCAAGCTTGCATATCTACCTATCTATCCACCTATCTATCTATATCTAAATTTACATATAAACTGGATTATGAAAATTCTGCTTTGTTTTTAGGATGAGACAAAACAAAAGCAGAAATATAAGTAAAATTAAAAAAAAATTGAGTTATAGTAGGAGATATTCTTCTTGATTTTCCAAGACCCAGGAAAACAAAACCTTGACCTATGTAGCAAAGCTGATTTACTAGGTATTACTTTCACTCTAACTTTTCTGTTTCCTTTAAATCCGTCTTTACCAGGTCCCTAGAACTGGAAGAAATAGAATTCCCAGCAAACACAATAATCTCCACCGCATAATACTTCTTTAGTAAATATAGTCCTTGAATTAATTAATTGAAGATTTACAATAAACATTTTTTAACAATGCATTCAAGTCCATGCATATTATTTGTGAAACAGAAAATGAACAGTTTAATGAATACTGGGAAATAGCAAAATGACAAGCTCTGGGCCAGGGACAGCAAATATAAATGAAAGATAACAATCATGACACAGTCACAGTCCCAATACACAAAACAAATGCTTTTTTTGTCCAATGATTATTCATATTTGTGATCTTTCTTTCCTTTCCTTTTCTTTTCTTATTCTTTCTTTCTTTCGTTCTTTCTTTCTTTCTTTCTTTCTTTCTTTCTTTCTTTCTTTCTTTCTTTCTTTCTTTCTTTCTTTCTCTTTCTTTCTTTCTTTCTGTCTGTCTTTCTGTCTTTCTTTCCCTCCCTCCCTCGTTCCCTCCTCCCCTCTCTTTCTTTCTTTCTTTTTCTTTCTTTTCTTTTTTTGCACTTCTGGGATTTTAACTCCAGGCTTTGCCCTTGCTAACAACAGCTGTGGCATTTGAGTCACATCCCACCACCCCCTCCCCAGTCTTTAATTTTGCTCTTGGTTTATTTTAGACAAGGTCTTGTGTTTTTGTTTTTTTTTTTGCTCAGAATGCCCTTGGACAACAACGCTCCTTACTTTTCCTCCTGCTTATACTACTGTATAAACTAACAGGCATGTTCAGTTGATTTTTTGAAATGGTGTCTCTTTAATATTTTGTGTGTTTCCCTTGAACTGTGAGCCTCCTGATTACGATAAGTAATATGAAAATGAGCTACCATGCCCAGTTTAAATAATAATCTTGTTAATTACAAAAAAATAGTGCTAAATCTCTCATAATCAGATAAGGTGAAAGGAGAAGATGGGGAAGGCTAAATCCCAGGTAAATCTCTTACCTCTAGACTAGCATGCAAGGAGCAGACCAATAACATGGGAGGATTTGAAATTCGGAATCCACTGGCTCCTGGGATTAATTTTAGTTCTGAAAAAAAAAGTTTATAATTGTTTAGAATATTCTTTAATAGAGCATAGAATAAGTAAAGATACAGTAGGTTGTCAGAGCTGAATAAAACTTCCTGCACATTTCTGCTCACTAGAAATTTTGATCTTCCCTGCTCCTACCTTCTCAACAAACTCCAGGTCACAAGAAATCTTTCATTCTAGAAACACAGAACCTCTTGTTGAAGATTTTCTGGACCCTGTCCTCCACTTTACTGTTTCCAAAGCAGATTTGTTTTTTGGTACCTGCTTTGCTTTTCTGTCACAAGGGCCTATAGTTAGTGAGAACATCAAGATTTGAATGTCACATACTTGCATGTCATCCAAAGGCAGGCCGATGACTACAATGACCTAAGAAGATTATGTGGACCTCTAGGATTCTTCCTTAGGTACAAGCAGACATTAAAAATATTCCTAAACTGGGCACTGGTAACTCACTCCTGTAATCCTATCTACTCAGGAGGCTGAGATCTGAGGATCACGGTTCTAAGCCAGCCCTGGGAAGGAGAGTCCGTGAGTCTCTGATCTCCAATTAACCACTAGAAAACTGGAAGTGGTGCTGTGATTCAAGTGGTAGAGCGCTTGCCTTGAGCTAAAGAACTCAGGGACAGCACCCAGGCCCAGAGTTCAAGCCCCATGACCAAAAAAAAAAAAAAAAAAAAAAAAAAAAGCTAGCTAGTTAGAAATCAAGTTGAAACTATACCTAAGAAAGCATTATGAGTGTTTAAAAATTCATCTCACCTGGGGCTAATCAAACTGTAATCTTCAATCCACTATCTGTTCTTTAATTTTCCACTAAACATGATCATACTGGCATATTTATATAGCTTGATGCCAGCTTTAGAACCACAATACACAGCTGAATATTTGGAAAGAGACAATATATTCCTCAAAAATCTTTAAAAAAAATCATTTCTTGACCTAACTTAAAAAGCAGTTTGCCTATCACCAGGGTATTATATATTCAAATATCTATATGAAACACTAGCTCCAGATCAGAGAAACTCTGAAGGATCTAGTTTACATGGAATTCTCCAAACACACATGATACATCCTGCTTCCTATGTGACTGAGGAAGATTCATACAGGAGGAAGGAGGAAGACTCCTGTGAGCCCCTTGTATGGTCCAGTTTCACTCCTACCCACTAGGGCTTAACTGCTCTTCTCTGGTACATAGCAAGAATCGCCCCTCCCCACAAAAAAAGGAAATATTTCAGAACACAGAGGATAAAATGTGTATTTAAAAAATTAATGTTATGCCGGGCGCTGGTGGCTCACGCCTGTAATCCTAGCTACTCAGGAGGCTGAGATCTGAGGATCGCGGTTCAAAGCCAGCCCTGGCAGGAGAGACTGTGAGACTCCTATCTCCAATAAACCACCAGAAAACCAGAAGTGGTGCTGTAGCTCAAGTGGTAGAGCGCTCGCCTTGAGCTGAAGAGCTGAGGGACAGCACCCAGGCCCAGAGTTCAAGCGACCGACAAAAAAAAAAAAAAAAAAAAAAAAAATTAATGTTATGTGCTACTTGGTTTACAGTTTGGGACTTGACTTCCCCTTAAACCAAACTCTGAAATAGTGTCCATCTATTCTGTCTATATCATTGATGATCTATGTGGAGGAGAAGGAACAATGAGCAGATGATGATGCAGTTTGAGTTGCAAGATAACAAAAGAATCTAGAAGCAGCATGGATTACCCAGGCATCCCTGGGTTTGACCACAAGTATCAAACCCCTTCTGCTTTCACTGTCTGATGTTTTGGCTCTCTGTCATTATGGGATCTGCCAAGCTTCAGGAGTCATATGCTAGATTTCATTTTCTTTTATTTTTCTATGAAAGAACAGACTCAAAATCAGGTTAAAAGCCTATAAACATGTAGTCTTACACACTGAAAATGTCATTTCTTATTTTAAGAATTCTCAGTGACATTTTCAAAGTGCTCTTTCTATAGGGACATTTATATTTTATACATGTATAATACAAAGACAGACAGAAATTAAAATGAAGCAAAAATAAAGTGAATCTTGAAATGAAATGGTAGACTTACTGTTATCCATTTTAAATCTAGTGCTCAGTTCATGGCTAAACCATCCCACTAACCTGAAATATAACAAAACATCACATAAGTTGGTTCACAATTGATAACTACATTTACTTTAGATATTAATCCCTACCATATTAAAATCATTTGTGATATGTTATCAAATAATGCAGTAGATAAATGCTATAAAGCAGTTCATGTTTATAATGACATTGAGAATAAAGATAAAAATCATTTGCCTACATTATTAGATTTCTAATTTTGTGTAGGTAGGTTCATCTGAATAATTATAATAAATAATATGCTTTCTTATTCAAAGGAAGATGATTGAAACTATGAGGGAGGGTTTCTCAAATTTCAAAATAAATCTAAAAGCTAAAAGAACATAAAACATTAATATAATATTTAATCACAGAATCTATAAAGAGAAATAGTGCTATAAATAAACCCTATATAATTTCAAGGTTTCCTAAGAAACCTTAAACCTTTCCTTAAGAAACATGGAGATTTAGAAGGAATGATAGAACATTGAGAATCATAGGCAGTTATCAACCTTTTCTAAATAATACTTGCTATGGTTAATATTTCCAATATCGGAGCTGAATCTAGGGCCTCAGAGTTGTTGGTTTTAGTTGAAATGGAGTGTCAAAGACTGCTGCCTGGACTGGCTTCCAACTGTGATCCTCCTGGTCTCAGCCTCCTGCTTGTCATGATTAATCTTAATTATCAACTTAATTCAATTGAGAGATGCCTGGGAGATTAGAAAAGCTCACCTCTGGGTATGTTTTCTGAACCACTGGAGTCATGAAGTCTTTGAATTAATGAATAATTTAGTCTATTGTTGAACAAAAAAAAAATTGAATAGATTTGAGAGGTACTGAAACTGGAAGGTGAGCCTGTTTGGAGGAGTAGATTCCAGGAATGTTCCTTAACAGCTATACCTTAGCCTCTTCTTATTACACTCTTTTCATTTTGTGGATGCCATAAGGAGAAAAAGGAGTTATGCAAGCATGGGCTGAAACCTGGAAAGTTGTGAGCCAAATATAAAATGTGAATTATCCTCTCTCTCTCTCTCTCTCTCTCTTTCCATTTCATAACTGGTACTTGAATCAAGGCCTCATACTCTTCTGGCTTTTTTTTTAACCATCTGAGCCATGTCTTCTGCTTAAATCTTTCTTCTTTTAAAATAGTTTCTCTCTGGTATTTGTTACCGTAGTGACAAAAGGTAAATAAAAATAGTATTTTAGTTTTAATTTTTTGAAAAATTTAAAACCACTCTTCTGGAACTTGACATTTATATAGAATATATACATAAAAATAAAAAACTGAAATAGGTATAGAGAATAATATGACAAATTTCCTTGCAAATAATATTTTATAATCTTTATAAGATAGAATGGGATATTACAAAACATTTAATGAGTAGTCATATTACTAGCAAAAGAAGTATCATCAAGATAAATGTAACATGGCAAAAATCTGGAAAATCTATGTGGACAGTAGTTAAGTAATAATATAGTACCAAAGTGTAAGAACATGTATTTACGTGTTTATATTTTTTCAGAGGGATTTTCTATTTATGTTTAAAAGCAAAAGAGCAAAATGTAAAAGAATATATTCCAAATTTATAAACAAGTAAGATTCTGTATTAAAAAGAAAAATAACAAATATTGGGAAAAGAAGTGATATTTATTATATTTAAAGAACATTTTACCATAGGGTTATTTACTTATTTATTTATTTGAGAAAGGACAGTGCTCCAGGAACTACACAGACATGAACATTGAAGAAACAGAAATTCCCCTAGGAATTCAGCAAAAACAAAAGTGCCTAAATCTTACTAATAATTAAGCTATGAGATGACACAAAGACAAAACCATTAAATAAATCAAACAGACACTGATTTAAAAATCAGCATTCTTATTTTCATCAAGAAGCTGAGATCTAAAGATCTTGGTTCAAAGCCAGTCTAGACAGGAAAGTCCATGAGACTTTGATCTCCATTTCATTACCAAAAAGCAGGAATTTGAACAGTGGCTTGAGTAGTAGAGTACTAGCCTTGAACAAAAACAAACAAAAAAAAAAACCCTCAAGGACAGAGCCTAGATAGCAGGTACTAAAAACAAAAGAGCAACAACAAATAAAAATAAAAATGTATAGAAAAGAAAACAGTATAGAAAAGAAAATAAATAGAAAAAAGTAGATAGAAAAAAGAAAACAGAAAAGAACTTCCCCATATCACATTATAGTCTAAAAGTCAAGTTACTTTCAAAGGTAGATCTATGAGAACACTAGCAGTGAAATACAAATGGACACTAAATACATAACACATGTTCATGTAAGGTTGTTTTTAGCCATAAGTTAAATCAAGACATCAAACAAGGCAACTCAGAATTACCATGATATTTCATCTTATCCCAGTCAGAATGACTACCATCAAGAAAACAAAACCCAACATATATTCCAAGGATATGGGTGAAATGGAACACCTAAACACAATTGATGTGACTGTAAATTAGTTTTGTCCCTTTGCAAATCAGCATAGTGTGTCTCAAAACACTAAACTATCGACCTACTATGTGATTTAGCTATATTACTCCTGGTTATCTATCCAAAGGAATCCAACCTCAACCACAATGAAAATACTTGCATTTCTATGTATATTGTAGCACTAGTCACAAATAATAGAATTGAGTAAGTGCCTATTATTTACTCATGATTAAGTGAGTCAAGAAAGTGTGGTACAATATGGCATTACAGTCCATGGAGATGTGGTCCAGAGGAGACCAATGTTGACCCAAACCACAAATGTTCAGTATGTACCAAGTATAATTAATTCATTTCTCCCATAAAGCTGCCCAGTTTCTGCTAAAGACATGCCTCCTTGGAAATCTAAAATTTTCACATTATCACATAAATTAAGCACATAAATTTTTACTTTATTTGGAGGTCATCATATACTTTTTATGACCACTAGTCATAAAATGAAGGGCAAGGTAACAGAAGACTTATTATTATTATTATTTTGGAAACAGGAGATTTAAATATAGCTAAAGCCAATGGGAGGTTGTCAGCTTCTCTGGATCAACTCATCTTCAGAATAGTCACAGGATTTTAAAACATTTGTTTTTGGAATTTCTTTTTTCTTTTTTTTTGGTAATAGTCAAAAATGAAAAGGAAATTTTAATTGCTTCATTAGGAGACTGTTTTTATGTGTGTGTGTGTGTGTGTGTGCAAATTATGATAAATCCATGTAGTAAAATCCTACACAATTTTCAAGCCAAAAGTAAATGAGGAAGAATTATGGGTACCGATAGGGGAAAACTACCATTATATGAAATCAAGAAGCCAAGTGAGTCAGATTGGAGTGGTCATGTTAGCTCCTCTGTTAAAGATAAACAAAAAACATGTATTTATGTTATGTAGGACAGGAAAGAATATTCCAGATAGAGCAGTATGTGGAAAGGCCTAGAGAGCTGGTAAAATGGCTCCCAAGGTTTATTACTTTATGCTGTAAAATTGACTAGTCAGCCATTTGAAATATGTTCAGTGAGAATTCAACTACACCAATTTTCTCAACTGGAAGAAAAAAATATGGTGGACATTTATGATACAATGACATATGTAAGATTTTCAAATTAATTACACAAGGTAAATGAGTACTTACTTCAAAGAGAACTAAGAATCAATATCATTCATAAGAAATTGTCTACTACTTTCCTGATAATAATTTATAAAACCTATATCCACTCTGCAAAATTTAAATTTGGATTGTTTACCCAAAATGGAAAATTTAATAATTCAGTTAGATATAATCTATAATTCTAAAATTTAACAGGCTAGCAACCACCTTGAAATTTTATCAGTGGAGAAGTTGAATTTCACTTTTTATTTTTAGGGCAAACTTTATTTTAAATTCTGATTTGCCAAAATCAGAATTGAGTTTTAAAAATCAAAATTGAGTTTTAAAGTCTAGGCACCAGTGGCTCACACCTGTAATCTCAGGAGGCTGAGATCTGAGGATCCTGGTTCAAAGTCAGCCCAGGTAGGAAAGTCTGTGAGACTCTGATTTCCAATTAACCACCAGAAAACCAGAAGTGGTACTGTGGCTCAAAAGAAAAAAACTTAAAAATGAGTTTTAAGAAAAGAATTATATTCTATATTTTTTTTTTGGGGGGGGGGGGTCCAGTCGTGGGGCCTGAACTTTGGGCCTGGGCGCTGCTCCTCAGCTCTTCAGCTCAAGGCTAGTGCTCGTACCACGTGAGCCACAGCGCCACTTCTGGCTTTTTTCTTTTTGCTTTTGTGGTGCTGAGGAATCGAACCCAGGGCCTCAGGCATGCAAGGCAAGAGCTCTACCACTGAGCCACCTTCCCAGCTCCAAGAATTATTTCTAGATTTGATTGTTGTTTAGATTAATAGCTTAAATAATAGATCATAAGTTAAAAGTAAAGAAGAGCCAGGTGACAGTGGCTCATAGCTGGAATCCTAGCAACTTAGGAGGCTGAGATCTGAGGATCATGGTTCAAAGTCAGCCTGAAGAAAAAAAGTTCATCTCCAGTTAACCACCCCAAAGCTAGAAATGGAACTGTGGTTCAAGTGGTAGAACATTAGGCTAGATAAAAAAGAAAATGCAGGTGACAGTGCCCCCTTCCCCGGTGCCTTGAATTCAAGCCCCAGAACTGGCATGTGCACGCGTGCATGCACACACACACACACACACACACACACACACACACAATTTGCTAATGTACTTCAATATGAAATACTTCTTTACTTTCATTTTCTTCTTTTTGTGCTGGTCTTGGGGCTTGAATTCAGAGCCTGAGTACTGTCCCTGAGCTTTTGTGATCGAGGCTAGTGTTTTACCATTCTGGCTAAAGCCTCACATCTTCCTTCATTGTGGGATGAAGGGGTTATTTGGAGTTGAATTGCACAGACTTTCTTGCCCAGGCTATATTTGAATCATGATCCTCATTCTGTCTTCTGAATAGCTAGGATTACAGGTGTGAACCACAATCACTTGCTTCAAAAAGCAATTTTTTAAATATAATGTTATTGT